GACATTTATGTAACAAGTTCAACTAACAGTCCTGGTTGCTACTTGTTGAATGAGTTTTTAAAATGAAGAAAATCTTTATAATGTATTGTCTGTTCAGTATCTTAACAGGCCCTCATTGGCAAATCAACCAGATTCTAAGGAGATAGAGCAGTCAATAACCAATCTAGTCTCTACATTTTTAATTAGGAGAGAGTTGGAGATAATAAGCAAATGTATTAAAATTAGCCCTGCTGGTAAATATTGCCTACAGATGTCATTTAACAAAAATGACTGCTGTGTTTCTCCCAAGACATGAACAGGAATATTTTGTTTGGTGGTTTTTTTCGAGACAGGCTTTCTCTGGAGCCTGTCCTGGAACTAGATCTGTAGACCAGGCTGGCCTTGAATTCACAGAGATCCACATCCTCTGCTTCCCGAGTGCTGGGATTAAAGGTGTGCACCACCAATGCCTGGCTCCAATGAACAGGAATATTAATGTACATCTTTATAATAGACTGAAATTGAGCTAAACTTGCATCTTCAAAATAGGAAAATAATTTAAAACATTATAAAAGTAAAATATAAGCAACAGAATGGGTAAATATAGCAGTTACTATGAATTGATAAATAAACTCAGAAATCTGTTCTATATTTTATTACTTAAAGAAATACGGTTTTAAATGTTCTGTTGTGGTAGAGTTAAAACACTATCTCGCCAATAGACAAGGCAAATACTGCTTACTAAATATCCAAACTAAGTTCATGGCCACTTGCAGTCACTTGAGTGTTCCTAGCCACTGGAAGTCAACTGACAATATAGTCTTAAGGTAAATGTCCATGAATCTGTGTATATAAAAGCACTAATAAAATGCAATGAACAATTTGTCTCAGATCATTACCGATGTGTTACAAATGCAATTCAACATGCTTTATCTCTAGCTTGAATAAGGATATAGCAAACTTATCAAATTTGACATTATTGAATAATATTTTTTGTAAATGCCAACATTAAGGATCCATAATCAAATTTAACAAGCTGACATTTAATAGGATAGTATGATGGTTTACAAGGAAATATAGCTTAATATCGATTGTTAGCTTGTTAGCAGATTCTGGAAAAAGTCAGATGTGTTATCTGTTTTCATTCCAGCTAAATAACCTAGTTAAAAAAAATATTATAGTGCAATAACAATGTCATTATAACAGCTAAACTTAAGCTTTCTTTTTGGATACTGCATTCCAATTATGTACAATTGAAAAAAAAATCCTGAACATCAGAACATAAATCTTATGTTCTTATTGAGGTATAAATATAGATGCATTTATTTATATCACATTAATATATGGGGAAAAGGTCATGTGGAGATGAAGTACTTCATGAATTCCCCATAATACTGACTTAGAAATGATCAGAAGCAAGGTATCAGTTTCTTCCTTACTTTTTATTCTACAACAAGTGAATTGATGGTTATTTTATTGAAGAGAAAAAGTGATTTATCATTGCATTGTATTTTCACATATGTACTTTATAGAAAATCAGGTACATTTATGCCAGGAAATTTGATATTAAGATATGGCATTCATTTATTTACTTACTTATTTTCTTATTTTACATATAGATCCCTTGCTTTAGATGTCAATCCCAGTTCCCTCACTCTTCTGTCCTCCCTTGTCCTCCTCTATGTGGAATGGGATCCCAAAGTAGGACAGGGTATTTTAATGAGATAGTGAATAAATACTTGTGAATAAGTCATAAGAAAATAGACACTTCAAGATCAAAAGACTTTAAGAAATTTACATTTCTTGCTTAGTCTTTAAGTTATGAAAGTTCAATAAAATTTTCTTTCCAGTTAAAAATGTTTCATTTCTTCCATTGATAATTATTGCTATAACATTGTGCTTTATGGATATGGGTGTTTTGTCTGCATATACATTTGCCCTCCAGAAGAGGGCATCAGATCCCATGAGTCTCCAGTTACATATGGTTATGAGCCATCATGTGGGTGCTGGGAATTGAACTCAGGACCTCTTAAAGATCAGCTACTGATCTTAACTGCTCATCCATTTATCCAGCCTAGAGATATATAAATTTAATTCTGAACTTAATTGTAAATCAGTATAGCTGTCTACTAGTATCTCTACCTGTTAATCCTTGTGAAGTCTCATGAAAAATATCTTGTAAACTGTATCAGTGGAAAAACCTTTGTAATTATTAGTACCCTTAGTTACACATTTTTGCTCTTTATAGTTGTCTCATTCTATTACCAAATCAAACTCTCTTAAGACAATTTATTTTTTATTTACTTTTTATTGTTTTCAAAACAGAGGGTATCTCAGTGTAGCACTGGTTATCCCAGAACTTTCACTGTAAATCAGACTGGCCTCAAACTCAAATATCTTCGAGGAGGCTCACAATCAAATCATAAGAAAATTTATTTTTAAAATTTTATCTCATTACATAAATTCCATAATTTTAAGGATACCTATTTTGTTCAGTACCATAAACTTATTGTCATAAATCTTAGCAGAGCCTATGTGTTGATATCTGTTGAATAAAGCTGCATAATTTGAGATTTCTTTGAGGACAAGGTAATGGCAGTATGTTATTCACTTCCTGCCTTTTTTTTACATGCATTTTGTGTCTTTAAATTTTATAAAATTCATCATGATTCAATTTAATTCTTATACTATTAAAACAGTTTATATAATCAATATTTTAGAGATATTAGTAAAATTCCAATTAAGAATAAGTTTGTGCACATGCACATTAAATATGTGACAAATTAAGGAAATTGGATTTGGGTGTAAATAAGTAATGTATTACTTCCCTACTCTTTAGCCTCCTCAAGTTATCATCGGGTAGCTGATATGCTCAACACTGAAAGAATCAAGAACTCTTATCATTACTTAGTGCTCGATCTCACAAAACTAACTGTTGGTGCACTGTTACAGAAATCCTCATATATATATAATGTAGCTAATGTATCTGTACACATGTGAGTTTTAGGCAAAACTTGGTGAATATATTCCCTACCATAAAACATCTTGCTCTATTCCTAAGAAGAAATACAAATACAAAATGTTGGTTCAATTATATAATTGGTACATATACATATGTGTAATGAATGGTAGTACATGTAGGAAGGAATGCTTCATGTTTATACAGAATGCACATTCTTATGGCTTCCAAAGCATGTGAGTAGTAATATACTGTAAAGACTGTTGTGATTAATTTTCTTTAAATTACTACTTAATGGATGTCTGTACAGCTTAAATTCCTCATCTTACATTCTTATGTATCATCCATCATTTCTCCTTCTGTTTTGTAGTACACTTGTAAACTCCCTCATGTCTGACATATATTTTCCTTGTGAAATCCCCTTACCAGTTGTTATAAAGTGTATTGCATTCACTCTTGGATTTATCAAGTGTTTACTGTGAGATTGATGCATGTTGAGCATTATCCTAGCTTCTGGGAACATAGCAGGGAATAAAATGAAATTCTAAACTTTAAAGAAATATATCAGTGTAAGATAAGATAGACATAAACAAATCAGTATATGTGCTATTTCTGTGCAGACATTGTAACAAGTTTTATGGAAAGAACATGTCATGAAATGGCATGAATAACCACACATCAACACTTATGGACCAGAAAAAGATCAAAGAATGTCTTTAATAATAATGGGTGCTATAAGAAGAGAAAAAAATCCATGAGACAGATAGAACATGGCAAGAAAATAATTTTTATAGGATAGCCAAGAAGGTTTTTATTAAGAAGAGGATTTTTGAGTTTTCAGCCAATCTGTGGAAAGAACACTGTAGCAAAAGAACATTCAAGATGAAAAGAAAAAGTAATAATAAAAATCTGAATCTGAAGAGGAACTAGTTTTCCTCCAGAGCAGGAAAGTCTGAGTTACTAGAGATGATTGATTGTGAGCCTAGCCTTTAACGGCTGAGCCATCTCTCCAGCCCTAATGATTTTTCTGCAGTGTCTTTCTGGAAGCTATGTAGAAAATCATCGGCCTATAATTGCTACTTTTTCTGAGTATACATACATATATAAAATATTTCATTTATACTCCTTTAGGCACATTTTACTTTCAAATATTCTGGAAGCACAATTATTTATTGACTTGATTGCAAGGAGCAATACTTCAAGTATTCAGAGTTCCATTTATATAACAAGAGTTTGAGAAGTATTATAGAATTGTTGTTTCTATTTGATATACTATATAGAACCTCAGAAAGAATAATTCATGAGGAGGTATTAGAGTCTTTACATGAATTTAATAGCCTCGTGCTTAAAATACCCTTGATGCAACTCAAAGTACTTGTCTGTTGTCTCTGCACTTTCAGGCTTTCTTGAGTTGACTAGTCATACCATCAGATGGATCAGAACCCAGTGTACAAAGAACAAAAACTAGAAGAAGACATGGTTTGGAATAGCCATACTAATTTCATGGAAATAAAGACTAATTGAGCCAAAAACAAGTAGAACAATGCAGAAAATGCATTAAAGAATTTTCATGAATGTACCCGTGAATGTCAGTTGGGAGGCCAGGGCAGTCCATGGGGCCTCTGGAAGTGAAACCACTAGTTATTTCTAGTGCACATATAGGCTTTCAGAGCTCCTTCCCTAGATACATGGGGGAGGGTCTAGGTCCTGCCCCAGATGAGTGGATGAGGTGTGGGATGGCAGTTTGGTGCAGGGAATGAAATGGGAGGACAGGAGGGAGAAGAAACTGGTATTGGTATGTAAAATAAGATTGTCTTTAATGTAAATAAAAATTTATTTGAAAAATTAAACTATGGAACCTTGGTCCTTTCATTTTATAGTTCCTTTGCTACTATTTATATTAGTAAATAGTCCCAAAAAATATTTAGGACCTACAATTTTCTGTACAGGATGATCCTGCAACACTGATTCTAATATGATTCTAATACATATATTGATCCATTTAAAAGTATGTTTGCATGTGTTTTTATTTTTGTGTGTATGTGTATGTGTTTATCAATAGAAAATGACACCATCTATTGGACAGACATGGGACTTAATAAAATCAGCAGAGCTAAAAGAGATCAGACTTGGAAAGAAGACATTGTTACCAATGGCTTGGGAAGAGTGGAAGGAATAGCTATTGACTGGATTGCAGGTAAAATCTATGGCTTATTCTTGTTTTTATTCCACTGGTATTTTTTCTAGGAGACTAGTTCTTTAAACTATTTCTCATTCTTGTTTCTAACATTTTAAAAATTCTTTCTAGCTAAGGGGGTAAATACTCTACTTTGCATTTGCTTCAACTTTTTCTACTGTCTTTGGATAAGTATTTTTATATAGTTGTCAATTGAGTATTGTTAACTTTGCTCAGTTCTCCAGAGGGTTCCACATGGTAAACAAAGTATAAAAAGTTTCCTTTTGCTAAAGTCAGAGTAAAGTGAAAACACTTACTCTGAACAGATGGGAAAAAATTTCCACTTCTTTGAAACATGTCAATATATACTACATAGTTTAAACTAGCAAAATATGAGGTTGGCATTTGAAGTCTATATGAATTAGTTTAATTACAGCTGTTTAGTAAATATACAATCAAAGGAAGTAAACAAGCTCTTAGTTATGTGAAGACTCAGAAACTTAATTTCAATTATAACTGAGAAACTTTTCTATTACTCTTAACTTGATTGTGGTCATTTCTGTATTTCTCCTAGGCAACATATATTGGACGGATCATGGTTTCAATTTAATTGAAGTTGCAAGACTCAATGGCTCTTTCCGTTATGTAATTATTTCCCAAGGACTGGATCAACCAAGATCTATAGCGGTGCACCCAGAGAAAGGGTAACTTTAAGTTTTACATACATTTTCCAGGCCTGAACTGTATTTTCTTTTTCTTTTTCCTTTTTTTTTTTTCACCTGTCCTTTGCTTGCTTGCTTTATTTTTTTTTTCTGGAGTTCTTTTTTTATTAATTTATTTTATATAACAAAGTCCAATTAAATGAAAACAAGTATTTATACACAATATTTGGGAATTTGGGCATTGTTCTTTCCAAACTACTTCCTGCTGGCATGAACTGTATTTTCTTAAGTTGTGTTAGTCAAATTGAGACAATGACATTATTGTAACTATAATATATACAACATGATATTAGTTTTAGCATAGAAAATTTACAAGTACCTGCTTGAAAAAAAATCAATTATCATGACCTTTAAAATTAATTTTCAAATTATGTAACAATTCTGTATAATGTATTTTGGTCAACATCATGCCTTGTTCCCTCTCTCATTCCATACCCATTCTCAATGAAACTTTTCTTCCCAGGCATACCTGCTCCTACTTTTTAAGTTTTTACTTAATTTTTGTTACCCAGTGAATTGAAATAGAGTTGATTGAATGTACATTGTACAGGATCATTTATAAGATCATATGCAGTTTACCTATGTCTATGAAACTGAAAAAGCTGACTAACCAGCCCAACAGCCATTAACTGCCAAGAGCTAGACAGGATAGGTGGGACCTTATGATACTGTCTCTTATCTTTGATAAGATGTGTATGGGTCCATCTTGTGCAGGTCATGTGCAGTTAATCACTTCAGTGTGTTCATGGCATGTAGGCAGAATGGGCTACATGTTCATCCTTAGTTGAGTCAAATGGGCAAACAAAAAGATTAAATATTGACATAATACTGACATGTTTAATTACTAAAATATTTAGTTCATCACCTAAGGCTTGGATAATGTCCTATTCTAAAAAAATCTGTAACAGGTGTTAGAATAAGTTTCATTTCTATAAGTAGGGAAGCTTCTGGCTTGTCCGAATTTAAAGAGATTTTTTTTTTTTAGGCACAAAAAATATTTCCCTTGATTGTTCTATTTTTCTGGCCCTTCTAAATCATTCTCCTTTCTGAATTATTTTTTATTGGTCTATTTTTCTTTTTTGTTATAATGTATTACTTATACATATTAGTGTGTCATAATGGTGTTTTATACATGCATATGAGGCATTATGATAATTTTTTACCTCCTATTATTCTTCTTTAACCTGTTCTTTTTCTTGATGATTCCTTTCCTCTTTTCAATTACTACCCATTCTACTATGGTATCTTTGGGGGATGAGTTTACCCAATGAGTTTCATTAGGTATATTTGCAGAAATCAGACTCAAGGGTTATTTACTAGCAAATGAGCATTTTGCCAGAAGCTAGTTAACCAAATAAATCTCTCTCTCTCTCTCCTCTCTCTCTCTCTCTCTCTCTCTCTCTCCCTCCCTTTCCCCCTCTCTTTCCTCTCTCTCTCTCTCTCTCTCTCTCTCTCTCTCTCTCTCTCTCTCTCTCTCTCTCTCTCTCTCTCTCCAACCCAAAAATTCTTTGTACCTTCTCAGAAGAGGTTGGGTGGTACTTCTTGAGCTGCAGCTCCCATTAACAAGCATAAACTTCCTAAATGTATTCTGGGATATGGTGTGTGGAGCCTCAGAGTATGTCTCTCCCTCTGTGATGAAAAGCTGATGGACCCACTCTAGAGCAGGTCCTATGTGGCTAATCAGTGCTGCTGAGAGCTCAAGTGTGTGCAATAGCTGTGACATACCAAAGACAGCAAACCACAATGCCTCCCTCTTCTTCTCAGGCATTAGATTCTTTCTGCCTTATCTTTCTAAATGTTTCATGAGCCTCAGGGATGTGCTATCATTGTCCCAATTAGGGCCAGGCATTATGTCATTACTTTCAGCCCTTTCTCCACTTCTGAGTTTCTGTAATAATGTGGTAATCACCACTCACTGAAAAAGGAAAAAGAAGACAAAGAAACATTTATGACCAAAATTGGCAGCATTATTAATATATGAGCATAATCATAAATATTTAGAAGGCAAATTGAAATGCACATCATGTCCACTTACCAAAACAAAGTCAGGATCCTCCCTGCTAAAGACTGTAACCTCTCCAGCCACGGCTTTTGATCAGATTTGTAGTACCAGAAACATATTTGAGCCTCTGAAGTAGGCTTCAAATAAAATCAGAAAGTGGTTATTTATGGTTGTTATCCTCCAAAGAGTTTATCCTCCAAATTACTAATGCACCAATGGGCACTTCATGCCTGGCATGTCATTATTGTCATATAAAGAGTTCACAGCTGAATATGATCATGATGATATTTCTGCTCCAGGAGCCTGCACAGCATCTTCTAAAACTGTGAAAGCTAGCCTTCAGGGAGGAATCTTCCAGCTAGTTCCAGCATGGTTTCTCTATGTCATGCAACAAACACAGTTCATAATTTCCACAATAAGGCCTTAACATCTAGTTCTCGTGTGTAACCAACAAAAGCCTGTATTTTGGGAGGACCACAAGAATCTTCCAGGCTGGTACTATCATTTAATAATGATATGGTTTCTGGGAAAAACATAGTCCATCCATTAAAACAAAACTCAATTCAAATTATTTTTATTTTTAAATAAGCTCAAAATAACTGTTTTTGTACAGCTTTTACACAACCTCTCATTTGTGTTGATCCTCCTTTCTTCTTTTATATCCCATGTCTCTCACCCTATCTCCACTTAAAATTTCCCAGTCCCAATATTTCCCACCTTTTTTCTTTATCCTTTCATGGGCCTCTTCATATTTTTTTTACTTCTGTACACTGTCCTATATAAATGCACAAATAAAAATTAGAGAGTTGGATTCACATATGAGAAATAATATGTGGTATTTGTGTTTTTGAACCTGGATATATCATCTAATAAATATTCCAGTTCTGCAATATTCATAATTTCATTTTCCTTTACAGATGAAGAAAAATAAATTGTATACATATACCATAGTTTCATTGTCTCTTATCAATGGATGGGCATCTCGGTTGATTTGTTTCCTTTTAGTGAACAAGAATGTACAAGTATCTCTGACATAAAACCTGTAGTCCTTAGGGTGTATGCCCCAAAATAGCATAGTTGAGATATGTGATGGATCTCACATCCTTAGTGTTTTGAGAAGCATCTACACTATTTCCATAGTGACTACACCAGTTTAAACTGTCACCAACAGTGAATAAGCATTCCCCTTTCTCCATATCCTTACCTGTATTTGTTGTCCTTTGTTTTCCTGATGATAGTCATTGTGATTACAGTGAAGTAGATTCTTTAAATGGTTTAATTTTCATTTCCTTATTGAGCATAACTGTTGAGCAATTTTTAAAAATATTATTGTACATTTATGTCTCTTCTTTTAAGAACTATTCAGTTTCTTAGCCCTCTTTTCGTTGAGTTGTTTGTTTTCTTTTTAGTGATTTTTCATAATGTGGAAATTAGTACTCTATCAGATATGTATGTGTAAAATATTTTTTTCTCTATCTTGTTAATGTTAATAGTTTCCAGTGCTCATTTTTTTCTTTATGTGTTCAGTCTTTCTCCTGAACTCTACATTTGACTATGTCTTCAGCATTCTCACTTGGAGAACTTACAAGTTATGTTTCAAAAAAATTGGTACAGCAATAATCTACCACTCCATATATAAACCAAGGAATGAGTTTCTTGAATATAATCAATGTGTTGAACACAGCAGCTTTTCTTATTTCATCCTCTGAGTTGTTGTGTGTTGTGTGAGTGTGTGTGTATGTGTGAGAGATAGATAGATAGATAGATAGATAGATAGATAGATAGATACAGAAAGAGAGAGAGGGGCTCAAAGGGAGCAGGAAGTGAGGGATACAGAGCTGGCAGCTGTAATAAATTGACTGTTAAAGGAAGGAAGGCTGGAAAGAGTCACAGAAGAGAGGGACATCAGGAGATGCAGAAGACATTCCCCACACAAGGCTGAGCTCCAAGGCAGCTTCTGTGTTCAGAGGGGAGCACTTTGGAATATATGGGTCTGGAGCTAAATTTGTTTTCAGGCAACAATTGAGGTGAGTTGGTGGCTGGCCTGTTGAAAGCAGTGACAGAGGGAAAAGGTGAACTGAAAGCTGACACACCATTAGCATGATCCACAAATCCCAGGCCTGTCAGCTGTAGGAAGGTCAGATGGAAATGCTGTTACCCACGGGGAACCAGTGTGCCCTCAGATGTATCCTTCCTATACCACAGAGCTTATATGCTTTGCTTGAATACTGCTTCACTACTCTTCTCCTTTATCACCTTAAAATTGTATTCCCAGCAAAGCACTTTCCTTTTGCTTTCAAATAACACCTAGGTCCTCTATTTTTGAACAAAAGAGAACTATTTTATCAGTATCTCAACATTTGCTTCTTAGCTTCTTAGAACTGTGATCTGTGCTTACCATTTCACTGCTGACCCTGTCCAATCTCTCCTGGAGGAGGAATTTCTCAGTATCTCCATGGCCTCATGATGAAGTAGTTTCTTAGTTTTGCTCCCATTTTTTTTTTTCTTGGACACTTTCTTACTTTGACTGTGATCCCAAGAATTCACTTTTTTATTTCCTGCCTTCAGAACCCCTCCCACCCTTTTTTCCTTTGGTTTTTTGAGACAGGGTTTCTCTGTGGCTTTGGAAACTGTCCTGGAACTAGCACTTGTAGACCAAACTGGCCTCGAACTCACAGAGATTGGCCTGCCTCTGCCTCTCGAGTGAGTGCTAGGATGAAAGGCATCCTCTACCCCTGCCTGGCCCAAAAGCCCCATTTTTTCTGACCTCTTTGAGCTCCAACAATTTCCACATCTTCTCTGATTCACTTTATTCCCAACAAGATAGCCTTTTCTCTCCCTCATTTTAATTATTTTTTATATAATTTTTTTAATTTAAATTTGAAACAAGCTTGTTTTATACATCAGTCCCAGTTCCCGTACCCTCCTGTCCTTTCCTGTTTTCCTCACCAATCCTCATCCCATCCCTTTTTTTTGCCAC